TGCACTGGAGAACATTTTTCATTCATTCAATTCAAACAGATATAGATGACCAGACCACAGAAGAGGCAACATTGACTTAGAAGGACTGCGTCTGAGAAAGAGGCTAGTTTTTTAATATACGAGAGAAAGTAATGATTCTTTTGAAGAAATACCAGTAACAATCAGTTATTCACTTAAAGTGCCCGAGGCAGTGCTGACATTCAATAAGTGTAAATAATAACAATAAGAACTAGCATTTTGTTTATCTCATAAACTGAAAGGGCACTGGATAAGGAGCACACCAAGACCAATATCCCATTATGGGAACATTAGTCAATGTGATAGAATCATCGCAAATTGTCATATAAAGATGTCTTTATTATCTCCAGCCCCATTTCTTCTAAGTCTGTACTAATTTAGCAGTTTTCAGGGCAGTGGCTTTGGACAGAGAAAGTATAGTCTTTTAAAAAAATCAATTTTAAAATAGTCTAAAGATGTTACACTTTTCACACCTTTCTAAAATTCTGATCTCATCGAAGGAACCCAAATGATGAATATTTGAACACATTTATAGGCTTGATTCTCCACGAATGTATCCACAGCAAATATCTAACCTCTACTCTTTTCACCCAATTTCACAATTTTCTGTGGATGAAAGTGTAAGCTGTCCATGAGCACTCTTATTTTGTTCCTGGGATTTGAAATTGTTCCAAACTGCTTTTTCAAATAATGATTACTAAAACTTTAAGAGGACATAAGTGGGCACCACCCCCTCAGGGCCGGTTACCTGTGAAATTCTAATCTCTTCAATCAACAGAGAAAATTTCCTCTTAACTGTAAATTCACTGATTTTCTGTATAAATTCTATTTTTAGTAAAAGATAGCCATACTACAGGCAAAGAATTCATCTTATTAGTCGTTACCATTTGCTTTTTGATCAGCAACCCTCTGAGTCTTATTTCATCTACTGGGTCCTGTCACAGTATTTTGAATTCAAACATTGGTCTTAAGCTATTATAAAAAAAAAATGTAAAAAGGAAAGCTGTAAGTTTGACAAGGATTTTACAATTTATTTTTTTGCTCAAAGGTAGCTGACTTTTCTCCAGTTTTAGATGCTACTGGTTATAATTTGAAGTAATTGCTAAGGCAAGAGAGGCTGAACAGCAACAACAATGTTGTAAGTTCAGCCCAGATTTAAATAAGTAAATGACACGTTTCAAATAGGACAAATTAAGGACAAAGTTTGGAATTTTAAAAAATGCTTATGTGTAATTATCTACCAGATGAAACAACCAACCAACCAACCAACAAGCTCCTGCAGATTCTGGAGAAGACAACAGGACTTTACAAGCCGGAAATGTCATCTTCTAAACACTACAGTACTAAATATGCTCACATCAGGGGACAGAATTTCTTTCCTCACTCTCTTCTTTTATTTTCACATTAATTTGTCTTAAACTAGAAAACCAATGGATTTAGTAAGGGAAAGTCTAGCATAGGGTTCAAGTGGACTGAAAATGACAAATTACTTAAAGACAAAAAGATAATGTACCTGGTACATTATCTACTCTCCTCTTTCTTGGCAGGTCTAGGAAACATCCACCCCCTGCCACACTGTGAAGACTGCGCTACTACTAGAAGGGTCTGTTTAGGGTAGACCCTTTGGGCAGAGTCTTTTGCTTTCATGGAGCGGTGGTGACATAATACTAATTTCAACATGGTAGTTGTTATAAAATGTATGATGGGGAGAGGGAGAGGGATTGTGGGAGTGTGTGTGTGTGTGTGTGTGTATTTAGCTTTTAATGAATCCCAACTAAAATAGCATAAGCATAGCTGTTTTAAGATGCTGGGTATTGGGGGGGTCAATTTTTACTCAAGAGCCATATTTCTAACCAAGCAAAAGTTTAGCTTCCTTTCCATGCAAATGCATTTCAGATCCACTCAGGAAGAGTTTCTATTCCTTGAGTTCTTACACCATGCTAGTCATCAACTATTTTAAATATGTTATTCCATTTATTCCTCACCCTATGAGAGAGAGACGAGGGAAGAAGCATTAATGTTTAAGAGCACACACTTTGGAATCAATTGAATGTGAGTTCAAATCCCAGCTTGACTGCTTGCTTACTAAATAACTTGAGATGAGGTATAAACATCTCTGAATCTCAGCATCCTCATCTGTAAATTGGGGGTGTAGAGGAGCAGAATTTGCCACCCCAAAATGTATCTCTTTGGCTTGAAGGTTATTTTGGGTGGGTTCTTTTTAAGAACAAAAGACTCAAGAAGCAGCTTTGACCTTCCACCAAACTATCTAAAGGAATTTAAGATAGAAGGCCTGTTCTGGGAAGGAGCTATCACCATAGATAAATCTAGTATAATATGAACTAGGTGTGTGACAGGGAGGAAGGCCCCTTGGATCAAAGTCCTCTCCATGTCCCATTGTCTCTAGACATTTGGTTATCAAACATTAACTCTTTTCATCTTCCTGTAAATTGCCCTCTTTCCCTTTGAAGTCCCAGACCTCTATCTCCTTTTCCTTAGTCTAGAAAGACATCTATACCTCATTTGCCTGTCTTTGGAATTTTTCATGCTTATGTGAATTTCCCATGTGCATGTATTAAATATTAAATTTAATTTTCTCCCTGTTAACCTGCCTTATGTCATTTTAATTATTCGACTAGCCATAAGAACCAAGTTGGAAAGGGGAAGAATTTTCCCCTCCCCAACAGGGGCAAATGAGATCACACACAGAAGGATACTTAGCAGATTATGCAGGGCTTATTAAGAGGTCAAAAATTTTTTGCTCTTATTAATATCCTCAGTGTACAGATGAGGAAACAGAAGCTTGGAGAAGCTACAAAATGTGCACAAGATTACATAGTTGGCAAGTGGTGAAACCAGGATTTGAACCAGTGTCTGTATGACACAATTTATCTTCTCCACTCCTATATTGGACCACTCTCTACCACAAGTTATTATTTCATCTATTCGCATAATTACTGCCCCCGAAACCCTACTTTAAGGAGGATCAAGAGAAAGAGCAACTTTTCCACTGAGGGACTGCACTTGTATTTGTTTTTTCAAAATAATCATCTTGAACACCTTGAGAGTTGAGATTTCTAATATCCTTTAGGCTAATAATGGATCTTACATGGCTTAAGAAAGGTCCAGTTCCAGCCAGCCCTGAGGGCCTAGTGGTTAAAGTTTGGCATGCTCCCCTTTGGAGGCCTGGGTTTGGTTCCCGGGTACAGAACCACACCACTTGTCTGTCAGTAGCCATGCTGTGGCCACGGCCACAGATTTACAATGCTCTTGAATTTTCAGTCACGGATAACCTCCATCCCTCCCCCCAGCATTTACAGAACATCCTTGGCAAAACAAAACAAACACCGATCCGGACAAATTGTGAGTTTCCTCTACTAGATAAATACTTCTTTTTTCCTCCTTAACTGAGGGATAGGACACGAGATAATCTCCCTGATTCATTCTGGAAGGAGGGAACTTTCCTTTGATGACTCAGATTTAAACAGGTCTGTACATGTTTGGTTCTGTTTGGAGATCAGTATTTAATTTAGAAATGCCTTGAGAGCTGAGATTTCTAATATCTCTTAGGCTAATAAAGTAAGGATCTTATATGGCTTAAGAAAGGCCCAGTTACGCATCTCTTTTCAGTTCATCTGGTGCATGAAAAGCTATTCCATTTGCATTAAAAGCTAAAAAATTTCCGGGCTGCCAAAGCCTGCAAGGTATAGGAGGACATCAGCTGCCTGAAGCTTTTCAACATCAAGTGCAATTTGGGGAGGACAAAAAGGCAGCGAGATGAGTCTTTCCTTTTATGGGGGGAAGGAGGCTTAGGTTCTAACTTGGCAGAGAGGATTCATTTAGAAAAAGAAGGCTCCCTTGGTTTAAATTCCAATTTCTAAATCTCTCTTGGGAGATGAAGGCTCTTCTTGTGTGCCTTTCACAATCAAACAGTTGGTTATAGCCTCTCCCCTCCATGGCTTTGAAATCCCTCCTATTCACATGGTCACAACAAGACAGCCCTGGGGCAGGGATAGCAATTGCTTCCTGGGCTCTGTGCTGGCTGTGTTCCACTGGGCGGAAGGGCTTCCAGCATCAGGCAGGGCTGCCCCGGGATTCACAAATGCCCACCACTTGGCGGAACAACAGCCCCACGCAATCCCCCTGTCCCCAGATAGCCTTTGGCTACATTAATTGCATCACTGATCCATTAAAAAAATTAAGTGGCCTTTTCATTCTAAGGCAACAGTTTCAAGGAGAAAATACTCAAGACTAGCCTTTGTAACTATAACTGATAACACTGCTTTTATTTTACTTTACAGTTGTGGTCTCTCTGAGCAATGAGAAGAAGTATATCTAGTGTGTTTGTAAAGAGTTATGCTCTGTATTTTTAGTGCATCATTTGCTAGAAAAGAACTCAACAAGATTGCTTTGGCCAGAAGAGTCTTAAAAGTAAGAGGCTAGATTCTAATGGGATCAGTCTTCAATGCTTGGTTAGTCCCCAAATCATCGGTAGCCTTTGGACAAAGAGATGCTTTAAAACAGTTACGAGTTTGACTTCTTAATTAAAAAAAAAAACCTCACATGATGACCTCATTTCCACAAAGAGTTAATAAACAGCCGCTGGGTTAATTTGCCCTGTCCAGCTAACAGCTGCAGAGCCCCAAATTCATAACGCAAAGAGACAAATGGATCTGACTAGGGTGCTTGCACCTGCTCACCTTCCCAACCTGTCTGGAGTGCATTCAGACGCTCCCTGACGAATGACCTGGGCCTACTAACCCCTGGAGCACCTGCCTTGGGTTTAGGTTTCAGAGACCTGGAAGTTCCCTCCCCTGTGCGCAGATTTCACATTCGCCTGCTGAAGGCAGACAGGGACAATGCCTTGTGTGTGTGATCCCCGACAGGCAGGACAGATGTACAAATGGCCGTGAGAGCCAGGCCGACTGAGATCACGAATGTTGAGGAGTCCCAGCTGGGTGGGAGGAGTAGGGAGTACTGACCTGGAAGATGAGCACTTTGAAGTGGTTGCGTCTGAGGAGCTGGGCGTGGTTGTTCTCCAGCCGCTTCACCTGCGCGCACTGCCTCTCCATGCTATCCTTGACGGCGCGCGTGTGGGCGCTGACCTTGCGGGACTTCTCCAGCAGCTTGCTCACCGTGTTGCTGGTGGAGGCCTGGTACTTGGAGAGCTTGGTGAGGTCGTTCTGGATGCCCCTCACGGAGCCCTCCAGGCTGATCTGCCGCTGCTCCATCTTGTGCTGGTTCTCCTGCACGGCATCCAGCATGTTCACCAGCTTGTCCAACAGCGTGAGCACCGTCACGGCGTTCACCTGCGAGTTGTCCCGGATGGCCTCCTCCGTGCTCCCCAAGTTCAGGCTGGGGCTTGGCGTGGAGGAGGGCACCGGGCTGGGGCTGGCTGGCTTCTGTTGCCGCGTGTCAGAACCCCGGAGCTGGAACTTTTCAGCTTGTGTGGCGTCCTCCTCCATGGCTGGGCAGGTGGGAACGCTCTCCTTGCTCAGGCGAGAAGGGCGGTGGTGAGGTGTGCAGAGCGAGGCCCGCGAGTTTGCTCTCAGAGCACTGCTGTCCAGGACTGGCAGCGGTTCAGACAGGCAACAACTGGCTACACTGATCAGGGGAACTGCATTCCAGCTGCTCTTAAAAGCCCTACTCCACCCAGTGGGAGGCGAAGGTTACAGAACTGAGAACCTCTCCGGGTTCAGGAGCATGTACACACTTCCTAACCGCATTCTCCTCGCACAGGGCACTTTCCGGCAAGTTTAACTTTTCTTTCCTACTTCTCTTCCCTTTTAAAAAATAAGTTCAAGGCCATATTTCAATCATGACTTCATCTAGAGGCGGAGAAAAACATGCTAATTTGGCCTAGCTCCATAGCCTCCAATTGGCTAAAGCCGGTAAACTTGTCTCTGGCTGCTATGCTACACATGCAACAGAGCGCCTGTTGTTTTTCCTGGATACAAGTTATTGTAACGGAAAGTGTTGTTTGCATTTGCCCTAGAACTGACTGATGGACTGCAGAACAGCCGGCCGGTGTCCTACTGGGAGGGGCCAAGTTTAAAGGGTCCTTGCAGCCAAGCTTGTATTGTTAAGTTTTTAATTTCCTAAGGAATGGAAGTACCCCTGATAATGACAAGGAAAACAGCCGGGTTCTTATTATTCTTGCAACTGGGGATGCAAGATAAGTTGAAAGAGACTGAGCTTCAGGGATGTTAAAGCATGTAATGCCGTTATGGACTGTTATCAGGTAATAGATGGAAAATTTTTCAATGACCACTTTTTAAAAAAAAAAAATGTAGGTTCCTTTTGAGAAGTAAAATTGAAAGAGGAAAAACCAAAAAGTGGTCACTTTAAGAACCTACCATGCTGATTTATTTTCACTAATTTTGAATCATGCTGAGAGAATTTCTCAAATTTCCATCTCTGCAGGGTATTTACTGACATGTGTCCAAAAGTGTGACTGTCGGGCAGGTCGCGTTGGAGTTTCTGAAGTGCTTCTAATGTTTGACATTTCCAAATTCCTGCTCAGTGAAGTGGCACACCTGTTCTAAAACGTAGCCCTCTTCAGCCGAGCCCCTGGGACGTGGGCTTATTTCCTAAAACGACTTTACATGCTTGAGTTGGTTTTAAATGTATCTAGCCTTTGAAAGGGCTTTGAGCAGGAAGTTTGTAATAGGTCTTCTATGAACAGTTTTGAGAAGAACAAATGCCAGCTCATATTGGGTCCGGGATTGATAATGGAAAAATGCCATTCTTCAATGACAAAGTCTACACGACAGCCAGTAAATCAGCAGGTCATTTCTTGTCACGTTTATTGAATTTGTGGGTCTCTACTATCTGCCTAGTTCTGTGCCTGGTGAACTATCCAGGGGATGCTAATAAAGCATGATCTAGGACCCTGCCCTCAGTGAGCATATCTGCTAGTTAGGGAGATGAATTCAAGATATTTACAGAGGCCGCCAATTTCCTCAGATAATTGGTACCCCCAAACCTACTTAAAGTGAATCCTTTAAAAATAGGGACAAAAAAAGTAAAAAGATTTTAATTGGGACTTTATCTCAAAAAAATATAAGAAAATTCTTAAAATTAATTTACCTTTCATTTAACAAAATTTAGTCAATGATGCGTTAAATTTTAGAACAAAAGATGAGTCGTGTTGATTTTGAGAAGCATAATTTTCTAACTAAATTATATGGTATCATGATACAATATCCTTTTACATTTGATTTCCATGGGCAAATCATAAAGGGGGTCATCATTGCAAAAATATTTGAAGGCTTCATCAATTTTCCAAGAGGCTCTCTTAAATTTTGACATTCCAATCATTCCCTTTTGAAGCACTTATTGTGCCATCATCTGTGTGGATTTTTTCTTCTTCAGATGTTAACTATTCCAGCTGCAGATTCTCATTTGTCAGGGGAGCTACCCATGATTCAAGGGCTTCTCTAACCTTCATCAGCTTCATGATTTCTTACATATTTTGAAAGATTTGCGATTTCACGTTATAATCACTTTGCCCTGATTTTGCATTGATTTGCACTGACTTTGCATTGATTTGCGCTGACTTTGCATTGCATTGTTGGATATTATATAGTTCGTTAGATGAATGGAGACATTAAAAACATGGGCTTCATCAATGGGGGTGAGGTGGGAAAAGGAGAGAGGCTAATTGTTAAACAGGAAGGAAAGTTTGCATCTGGAATTATTTATTTTTAAAAATTAATTTTGAATAACACAAGTAACATATCATTTACCTATTGCTGTGTAACAAACCAACCTGAAATTCAGTGGCTGAAACCAACAACGGTCATGAGTTTTATTTACTCATGATTCTGTGATTGGCTAGGCTGGGCTCAGCTGGAATGGGTCATCTCTGCTAGGCATGTTCATTCAGCTGTAACGGAATTCGAGATGGTCTCAATCACATATCTGACTCCTTAGCTGGGAAGACCAGAATGCTGGGATTTGTTTCTCTCGATCTTTCAGCCTCCAGGTACTTGCCATGTGATCTCTCTAGTAGGGAAGCCAATCTTCTTTACGTAGTGCCTCAGGGTTCCCAGGGAATGAAAACAAAAGCTGCAAGATCTCTTAAGGCTAGGCTCTGGAACTATGCCCTGGTCAATTCCACCATATTCTATTGGTCCAAGCAGGTCACAGGCCAAGCTCAGATTCAAGGGGACGGGAAATAGACTCCACCTCTTTATGGGAGGAGCAGCAAAATCCCAAGATAAAGGGTAAGTAGTATGGGAGAGATTGTTGTAGCCATCTTTGGAAACAATCTACCTCAACATGAATACAGTTTTTTTTTTTTTGTTTTTTTTTTTTTTGCTGAGAAAGATCCACTCTGAGCTAACATCTGTGCCAGTCTTCCTCTATTTTATATGTGGGTCACTGCCACAGCATAGCTGACAAGTGGTGTAGGTCTGCGCCTGGGATCTGAACCTGTGAACCTGGGCTGCCAAAGCAGAGTGCGCTGGACTTAACCACTAGGCTACAGGGCTGGCCCCTGAATGCATTCTTTTTTCAAAAGACTGTTACAGATAAAGCTGAAGATCCTTTCAATCACCATTTTCATTCCATCCTCTTTCACTTCTTGTCAGAAGTAATCATTTTTGATTTGGAGTATATCCTTTGGAAATTATATTTATCTGATGAATTCATTAGTGAATAGTTTGCCTTGTTGCACAATCTTACATGGGAACTATAAGGAGCTAGATAATGGGAACCTGTCCTGTACAAGGTGACATGTAACTAAGTAATAGACTGTGACACAAACTCTAAGGGCATCAAGAGTTTATACAAGGGGAAAGCAAAGGCAATAAAAGAAGGCACTGGTGATAAGTTAGAATTTGAGGTAAACCTAAGCAGCCACACTCACCATTTAGTTGACCTAAATTAAGTCCTATTTTTGTCTGAAAGAAATTAGTGAAATTCAGCTATCAACTCTTAAAAGAAATTTTGAAAAATTAAATCTACTTATTACATACTATATGTCCTTAGAAATTAGATAGTAGAGTTTAGACTTGATACAATGGCAGATAGAGGCTCCTAGAAGTTTCTGAACATGAGAAAGTGATGTGTTTAAGAAGGATTAGTGCAGCAATAAAATGTGGCAAGGAGTCACTCAGTTGGTAATGTTTGTTGAATGGAAATACATGCTAGGCACTGGGGATGCAACAATGAACTACATATATTTGCTACCCTTTAAAAGCTCCCACTTTACTGGGAAAATGAGGCAGGTAGACAAATATTGGGTACAGATATACAGGTGTGGTGCTGGAGTCGGGTAACCTGAGGGCTTTAGTCATGACAGGGTATGGTTAGGGGTCTGAATTCTCCAAGTGACCACCAGCTGCCTACTGCTACCTAAGGTCTCTAAGTCATATAAGCACAGAGGTCACTCCAGGAAAATGCCTACTTTATTACTGGCTAGGGCATTGATCTCAATTTCTATATGGTTTCCCGTTCTGGATCATTAGTAAGCCACAAGCCTTGGTTAACACTTTAGCATAATTTCTAGACCAGAGGCAGCTCAATGGCCTCCTTGGTTGGCATTTTCCATTTAAACTCATATGGGGATCCTTACTTACTTGGACTCACTACTATGGCAGTGATAAGAGACCTGGAATGATGAGCCCACAGAAAAGAAAGCCCTTCTCCTCTATGGCTGACGAAGCAAAAAAGGCTAAGCTGGCTACTCCATATATCTTTTCCTTTGAGCCACATATTCGTGTTCAGAAGCCTTTCAAAGGTTGGGTTGCCTCTTGACCAGGAGGTTGTATGAGTATATTAACCACATGAAAATAAAGAGGAACAACATAATGACACTTTTTTTTTTTTTTAACGGAAAGAAGGAGGAGAGAAAGAAAGAGAGAAAAAGAGAAAGCAAAAGAAAAGGAAGGTGTCTTCCAGGAGGAAGAGGAATCTTTCCACCTTTTTATTATTCTTAATGAAAACTCTTTCCACCACCTACCATATACTTGTGAGGTCTCTGTTACGTCCCTAGCTTCTGGCTGTTGAGAGGCAAATCTCCATGGATCTTTCATATTTCTGAATGTCTTTTGAGCAGACACACTGACAGTTTTTTCTTCTGGACTATCTTTTCAAGAATGTTTGTGTAGTGAACAGCCTTGAAAAATAGAGATAGTAGTAGAGGATGGAGAGGGAACAGAGGGTAGGATTATTTGATGTCCAGTATAATAAAGATAATGTTTACCTCTGAGGCAAGGGTTGGGCAGGTTGTTTGTAGCCTCTTATAAAAGACTAGAGGTTCCTAAACTTGGGGTTCCTCAGATGTGATGCAAATCCACGACATGTGCAGGATCCACCTATACCTACCTCTGTGTCACCCCCATGTGACTTGATGGGGAGGCAAAGGGAACTGATGAGACTATGAAGCATATGTGCCTGCTGTGCCATGGTAATAAAGTCTTGATCTCTGAACCAGGAGTCTCGTACCTTCTGCTATGAAACTGTGGCAGGTTGACTTGTTAGACTATTCACAGACCTTCACAGTTCTTGACACTCGTCACTTTTTCATCTAACTATAACATCTTGCGTGAATGAAGCTGATAGAATGAATTTAAGAATATGAAAATATGTTTAAAGGCACTGGAACCAGAGGGCTGGCTAACTCAAGAGCCTCAAGATGCATTTGCATCTGCATTTTTTGTGAACTGAATCTTGCTTGGAGATAGAATCTGCATGGGGAGATGATTTCTAGTGGTAATCTTGTCTTGGCACTTATCTGATACCAGGGCATGCTCACAGCTCAGTGCTGAGGGCAAGCCTTCACATCAGGAAAGAGTG